CCTACAGCTTTCTGACATAGGAAAAAACACATGGTAAGACTTCCTTATATCAAAGGATTTAATGAGAAAAATATCTAACTAAGTCGAGACCTATCCAAATGAACCATGAAGTGGTGGAAATATGTACAAAAAGAAATTTTTGAATCACTTAAAAATAGTATCATTAGGAAAAGCAAATCTCCTTGGTCATGCCCAACTTTCTATGTCATCAAAAATGCAGAATTAGAAAGAGGAGCACCAAAGTTAGTCATTAATTACAAGCTTTTAAATTCTGTATTGGAATGGATCAGGTACCCAATTCCAAACAAATAGGATTTAATCAAAAGACTTAACAACTCAGTAATATTTTCAAATTTTGATTTGAAAAGTGGCTTCTGGCAGATCCAGATATCCCCAGAAGATAGATATAAAATTGCATTTACTGTTCTTTTTGGACATTACAAATGGAATGTAATGCCCTTTGGATTAAAAAAAATGCACCAAGTGAATTTCAAAATATAATAAATGAAGTTTTGAACCCAGTTAGTCATTTCTCTATGGTCTACATAGATGACATCCTCATCTTTTCCAAATCTATAGAAGAACATTGGAAACACCTTAATGCATATATTAAGGGCAGTAACAAATACATTCCTGATTTCCTAACCTATGAATTTCTGCAGGAACCTCATGACGGACAGGAAAAACAGTAAACCTAGAACTTCTTCCAAAAAACACAAAAAGGATACTGGCAAACAGTTAGCTTTACCTAGCCAAAACCCAAAGCCTAGTCAATTACCATCAATTGAAATAGCAAATCGTTACCAACCTCTTGATAACCCAGTTAGACCTACTTACCAGTCTTCCTTAGTAAACCCAGGAACATTCTTGTATCAAGCCCAACAGCAAAGCACATTTAGCCCATGTATGGCCCAGCCCATATCTGGCCCAGCCCATATCATCAATAAAACCTAGCCTGATAATTAACCCATACCAAACACAATCAACCTTCAAAGGTCCAAGAATAGAATATGTTCCTTAAAAACTAGCCAGTAGCGTATTCTCTATTGAACCAGTTCATGCTCACCTAAGCAACTCAATTGACCTAGTCAACGCCTACCTTGAACCAAGATGGACCTTTATCCCATTTGATCTTGAGAAAACCTTTACATTTTACCATAATATCCTATTCTTTAACCAGTTAGTCTTTATTAAGTCTATTGCTAATAGAGATGACCCTAGAAAAATTATTTATCATTCTTTGTATATCCAAAAGTTTGTCTCCCTTAAAGAATGGGTATCTCACCCTTCTTCCCTCCGAGATCTTCCTGAACATAGCAAAAAGTTTAGTTACTATGACTACAAGGAGTCATGGTTCAAACTTATCCTCTATCGAGATGAGTCTTACGCTCACTCTTGGTTCTTGCAATTTAGGAAAGATTTCTAAAGCCATATTCCTACTTGGTTTTTACAATGGCGGCATGTGCACAGCCCCATGATTGAAATCTTACTGCTTGATCTTCAAGATCAGGTAATCTACTTCTCATCTGCTTATAAACCTAGCAAACACGAGAGCCAGTTTCTGTGTTATTATTATTTATTAGTAAATATAAAGTCCCATGGATTTGTAAATGGCATTGGGAAGTTATAGTAAACAATGTTGCCTGACAATTCTACATTAAGTGGTGGCCAAGGTTCCAAAACGGCCTTATTATAGCCAGGTACAAAGAGAATTTCTAATAAAGGTTCCTACTCCAGTCAAGGACACATGAACAACTACTAGCATTCTAACAACACCAGTTATACAGGTTATGCCAGCTCTTCGAATCTCTGCACCAGAAGTCCAGGTACAACCATCAGCACAGCCATTAGCAAAGCAAAAAAAATCCTCTTCCAAGGATTCAAGTAAGCAATAGAAAAAGAATTCTTCTAAGTTGATCGAGTTAGCACAGAAACTTCTCTAGCAAGCAGCCAGCCAAAGTAGTTCATTTGTATCATCTCAAGCCTCAGTCAGCCCATCTATGGATCCCTTCCAGGATGCCTAAGATCCTTATGATGGTTATGACCTATCTACCTCATGATTCTTATCTCTATGTGTGATAGCTTCAATCACTACTTTCTTCATCTAAAAAACGAAAAATTATCTATTACACATTCTGATGGAATCATTTAAGCTAGCAAACAAGGCCTCTTTTCCACCGAAAGTAGCCGATAGTCAATCAATCAGAAAGCAGATTCTCAACAAAGCAGCAGGGACCCACTCCTGCACAAAGTCAGCAATTCCCCAATTTAAAGGAATTCCTCCCACTTTCCACCGAAAAGCAAGAGGGAAAAGCATTCCACCCAAGTTAAAGCAACAATCAAGCCAAAAGAGAAATCATTGCAAAGATTCTCTCAGAAATCCCTACGCCTATATAAGGGTTTCACCTATCCTTAGCAGAGGAGCAAGCTTTGTTTAAGCAAAGTTCTTTCTAGCAAACTTACACACTATCTCTCTCCCTCACTCTCAATGTATCTTAGCTATCATATGATGCATACAGAGATGTTCTTCAAGTAAACTTTCTATTATCTATAAGTTATTTTAATTATCAGTATTTTGTAAATTTTGAATAAAATCTTTAGCAAATATTTCCATTTCCATTATTCTAATCTAGAGGGTATGTGCATAAGAGGGGTATGTACAACGGAGTCAAAACTTATTCGTAATTTACAAAGTTGAAAATCTTAGATTTAAAAATGAGTAGATTATTCAGATCTAATTCTATGGTTAGATCATCTAGATATTCATTAACTACTATACCAAATATAGTAAATGAAGAAGAACATGAATATCATGAGTCACAAGTAGATTGGAGTGGATGGAATATCCCCAAAGTCCCCACAGGGAAATCTACAAAATAGTTGGATTCCAACAGCTTTTAAGTCAAAACTACTAGTGAAAACAATTGAACAAGTTTATGCTCTCACAAAAGAGCAAGAAAATTGTCAATTGCTAAGTAAAAAAGCCATAAAAAGGCATAAATCAAAAGGATACAATTTTATCCATCTTAGTATAGTACAAGTAGCAGTAAAACCATTAACCCCAGAAGGAATTAATTCTGCAATTTTATTATACTTAAGAGATGCTAAATTCATAAACTTTGAACCAGGCATCTTGGGCATGATGGAAGCTGGTCTCCATAACGGACCAGTATACTTTAATTGTTTTCCAAACTTCACTCTAAGTCTGGAAGATCCTACCATATTAAGAGCATTAATCTTAGGAATAAATATTGCAGGAAAATTTACTAAAATGGTAAACGAAGCAAGATCAATAGTACTCATCTATAGGATATATTACAAATGCATTACAACAAACCTGAATGTCCATGCATTAAAGAAAAGTCCTAAAGATGATACGCTATTAATTCAAGGTAGTACTATTGAATCAAACATACAAGTCCCTAAAAGACGTCTATGGAAAGATGTTCAACTTCCAGAATGTTGGATGCTTGAAAGTGAAAGTTATAACAAAGACAGTCAAAATACCATAGCAAACTTAGAACATATCCAATAGTTTTCTGATGGATCAGTAAGAATTTCATTTGATAATGCAAGATCCAATAGATCTCACATATCACATAGTAAACCACTTAGAGGGTATGTACAATGGAGTCAAAACTTATTAGTAATTTACAAAGTTGAAAATCTTAGATTTAAAAATGAGTAGATTATTCAGATCTAATTCTATGGTTAGATCATCTAGATATTCATTAACTACTATACCAAATATAGTAAATGAAGAAGAACATGAATATCATGAGTCACAAGTAGATTGGAGTGGATGGAATATCCCCAAAGTCCCCACAGGGAAATCTACAAAATAGTTGGATTCCAACAGCTTTTAAGTCAAAACTACTAGTGAAAACAATTGAACAAGTTTATGCTCTCACAAAAGAGCAAGAAAATTGTCAATTGCTAAGTAAAGAAGCCATAAAAAGGCATAGATCAAAAGGATATATATATATATATATATATATATATATATGATATTTTGCAAAACAAGACCGACCTGTTTTATATGTTTTCAAAATTTAGTTCGAGTTTGGGAGGACTTTCCTACAGAATACAGTGATCATCCTCTACAACAACATTATTTTTAGATTATGGTTTAGAGGAAGAGCTCATATTTGATGAGCATGTAAAGTGGGAAGCTAAAATTTATGAGAATGTGAATTCCGAGGTGGACGTTTAGAGTTGTTTCCTTTATGTTCTAGATTAAGAGATTAATTATGAGACTATCTTAAAGATAATATTTTATTTATTCTGTTGTAAGATAATATTTAATTTTTAGATGTAATCGTCATGGTTTGGCATATTGATTTTTGATGATGTTTTAGTTATTGTAGATGCTAAATGAAATTTCTATTATTTACAAATTTTATTAGTTGCTCACATGATATGAATAGTTATAGATAGTAATGCCTTTCAGAGTAGATTTTGGGACGTTACATTTTGTGTGTGAAGAAGAGGTGAGATAGAGAGAGAGCACGATAGAGAGAGAGCGTGATAGATAAAGAGAGAGAGAGAGAGAGAAAGAGAGCACAATAGAGAGATCACTTGGGTTGAGTGGTTGTCGTCGATGGGCTGACCGTAGTTGGGGTGAGCCATAGAAGAGAAGAGCTATAGAGAGAGAGAGAGAGAGAGAGAGGACCATGGAGAGAGAGATTTGGGGATGCACCTCAGGTGGGGGAAGGTGCGTGATTGCCAAAATTAGGCGATTATCGGCAGTGTGGGGAAAAGGGAGTGTGGTTTTTTTATCCTTCAGTCTTCTTTTCAGTTTCTATTTGTGCCCTATATTTTGAATGGACAAGGACAAAAACACTCATTAGCATTCCCATGTGCGAGGCACATTACATTTTCCGTCTATTATTTGGACAACGGTTAGAGTAAAAACTAAAGTGAGTCAATGTGTTAACATGGAGGACGAAATTGACAAAATTAAAATTTCAAAAATGAAAGTGTAACAAGTGACAAACCTCGTGGATTATTGGTGCAATTCAACCAATAAACAGTGCATTGCCTCTTTTATAATATCCGAAACAATGCTGACTAACTAATATGGAGCTCTACAATGACATCTTCCAAAGAGTAATTTATGGCATACAGATAGAACAAATGGACCCAAAAAAAGTCAACTTCAAATACTCAAAAAGCCCCACTTATGATGTTAAAAATATAATCGAATATTTCTATGTACAAATAATAATAGTTGGGTCCGACTCATTAGTAGCTTCTTCTTGTAGATCTTGTTCATTCTGAAAATTGGTCTAGCTTCATGCTGGTCTCAGCCCCCTCAGGGCCGCAGCAAAAATCTGAAAATTCAGGAAGCAGAACTTTAGCTACGAATGCATTCCAATAATTTAACAGTCGAATACAAAATGACCTTTAGATAAAGTGGATTAATAGAGAAGAAAAAGAAACATAGCAGTGGTATGTAAAGACGTGACATAATTGTATATGAAATTTCATTATCTTGCCAACAGAAAAGTCATTTTCAGCCACCCTGTCAAAATGAAACCCCATATTTGGCACAAATGATGTCGCTTACCTTCATGGTCAAGAATAAAAGGAATGATTTTGATGTCCCAACTCTCTGAAACACGTGCAAGATCAATGTGCCATACATATTGAATATCAATGGTGCCATTTAACAAAAAGAAATGCACATATTATAAATTTATATATATATATATAAAGAGAGAGAGAGAGAGAGAGAGAGATTTCTTGCTGTAGGGCTTAACATTTGTTACCCTCATTCTTCAGTACCTTGATAATAGCCAGAGTTTATACATTTTTCTTCCAAGTGTTCTAAAACATTTTTCAAAGATCAAAGAACTAATCCAGCACCGGATAGGAACCAAACCAGTTTTTCTAAAACAATCCCAGATGCAATAAATTTCATAATAGCTTCCTATTTTACGTTCCCTCCCAAAAACATCCTCCTCTCTCTGTCTTGCTCCCTTTGTAGGACAGATCACCATACCACATGGACACATTTTATAACAAAATCATTATTTTCCTTTTTGTGGAAAGTGCATGTCCTATGCATGTAACATGCTAGAAAAGCTCTATTTTCTAAGGAAGAACATAAAGAGAGAAAATCCTACAGGAGAACACAAAACAAAATTCCAACTGTCATAGCTTTACAGGGGAATGAAAACAGACCTTAGAAGGAGCCGCTTGATGCTGGCTTGATTCCATATGAGGAAATTGCTTGCGATTGCCACTATTTCCTTTGTGCTCAAGGGGACCTCTTTGTTCTTCGTGGGGAGGAACCAAAGTGTCTGCTTTGTTGATGGGCTTCTTATCTTCTTCCAAAGATGAGCTCTTCAATTTGTCCACTGTTGTACGAATGGCAACATTTCTATCCTCAATGGTTTTAATTTGTAAAGTCTGAGCCTTCTTTGAGAATTGTGTAGCTGCTCCTCGTGCAGCAGCTATGGCTGCACTGAGACTTGATGATTTGTCCACTACAGCTGCTTTAGACTTAGAGAAGCATTTGGAGATTGATCCTGGCTTCAAGGAAAAAGGATCCTGGGGATTGGGAAGTGAGAACTTTACTGGTAAGGGACATTGAACTGAAACAAGACTTCCCACAGCAGCCTCATACATCTGCAACATAGCAAAAGAGTATGAAGAAATAAGAGTTATGTGCAAGTACACACAGGCACAGATAACTACTATTTGCCGCTAAAGTACCTTCTTTTCCAAGTCATAGACACCTTGATAACCTCGCATCTCAAATGGAACAAGCAATTTCTGCATTGAACAAGGGGAACAATATTATCAATGTGGCCATAATATAAAGACCAGCAGGCGTCCGACGAATAATTAGCAAATGCCAAAACTATAAAACGGTAAAACATAGAAGCATGAAGGTACATACTTGAGGCTGTTCACATAACCAGCAAAAATCTGTCAGCCCTTCTTCCCGCACCTATGGAGGGAGAAATGCTCGGAATTGCTCAAAAATGCACTAGCAAAATATGATCACATCACCCATATATGAAATTAAATCAAAATGATACATATGAAAAGTCAAGCTCTTCAATTACTGACCCCTTCTGGTATCTCATTCCATAAAGCCAGTTCCTCACCTTTAAGGCAGCCAACCACTTCAACGCAACCTGTATTTTTTAAATGACCATTTTGGTTTGTCATAATATACAGGAGAGAATATAACTGAAATTTGATCTTAATAACAAAGAAATAAGCAAACAACACATGGTAAGATTTTAGAGAAAATTGGCAACCATTAGGCAACATCCACAAACAAAGATAATCAAACATGGCTTTTTCCCCAAAATATCAGCGAAGGGGTGTCCAAATGAATAGATAATAAGAGTACAAGTTAAACAAAAACTCAAGAGCACACCCAAAAGCGACAGTTAAATAAGACACGTGCAAAGAACTGACCTACAAAGTCTCTCACAAGAAAGTTCTCTCCCCAAGAGGAGGGGACCCCTCCTTACCTAGGGCACACCCAAACTCCTACCAGAAAGTTCTTTTTGTAGAGACTGTGACTGAATTACTGATTGGACAAGGAACAGACGAGTTCAAAACTAACTGTTCCACAAGAAAAAGGAAATTTCAAAGAATTTTTGCAAAAATCCCCCCATACTTTAATAAATTTCTGATGTCTTCAGGTCCCAAGAGAATACTCGAAAATGGAAGCAAAATCCTTGGACTATTTTATAGTTTGATTGCACTCAATCTCTAGATTTCTTATGGATACAATGAGTATGTTCTTGGTTGGGTGTGGGAGTGTATGTGTGACTGTCTTCAGATGAGTGCGGGGTTGTGAACGTGATGTAGATCATATTAGGGAAGAATTAGGGATGAGAAGGGAAGAAGAAAGAGATGAGAAAAGAATGAGAAAGAGATAAGAATACAGCGAATTTTAGAAAGAAGATTCAATATCAATAATCAATAATCAAAATCTCCCAAAACAAATAACATATCTCCTACATATATAGGGAGACCACAAATCCTAAAAGAACTCTAAAAAAAATAAATAGTCATAATGATAACTAAACCCCTGAAAAGCATAATGTCAAATAACTCCTAATCCTTACGCCTACGCATACACCTACTATAACGAAATATAATCCGATTCCTATCATTTCCCCCGACTAAAAAGATCTCGCGTCCGGAGAGATGCGATCATGATAATGCTCTAGAAGATCAGGGTCAAGCCGATGAAACTCCTCCTCAGTAATCCATGAATCATCAGTCTCTGGACAATCTCTCCACCGAATAAGATAACGACGATATCCTCCATCTGAGGAGCCCACAATCTGATCATCAAGTACATCTGCGATCTGGTCATGCAGCTGTGGTGGAAACGGTGGAAGAATCGGAACTGTAGTTGATGCTGATGACAAAGCAAGTCCACCTGTAGGAACACCTGCTGGAAACATAGGAGGCTCAAAAGTACCATGATAAGGAAACAAGTCCTCCACATTGAAAATAGGACTAATACTCATATTCGAAGGTAAGTCAAGGTGATATGCATTAGGTCCAAGCTTACGAATAATACGAAAAGGACTAGTGGCTCGAGCATGTAACTTTTTGAAAGAATTTTTAGGATAACGTTCAGGACGCACACGAACCATGACATAGTCTCCCACAATAAATTCTTTATTCTTACGATGAACATCTGCAGCCAATTTATAATTCTCATTACTTAATGTAATTTTCTATCTTATGTCGGCATGCAAGTCATAAATATGCTGGGCAAAAACTTCAGCTGAGTGTGAGGGGCGGGAATCATGAGGTAAAGGTAATAAATCAATGGGCCGTCTAGGGGAATGGTCATAACCAATCTCAAAAGGGGATAGACCAGTCGACCTGTTGACGGAGTTATTATAGGCAAATTCAGCAGTAGGCAACAACAAATCCCAATTTCCCATCTTCTCACCCATTAGACACCTAAGTAAATCTCCTAAGCTGTGATTGACTACCTCAATTTGGGGATGAAAGGCAGAGGAAAACTTAAGACTAGTTCCAAAGAGTTTTCAAAGTGTCTTCCATAAATAACTCACAAACTTGACATCCCTATCAGACACAATGAAAATAGGCAACCCATGTAGTCAGACGACCTCTCTAAAAAATAACTTTGCTACATGTGAAGCATCCGTAGACTTAGTGTAAGGAATGAAATGGGCCATCTTAGAAAACCTATCCACGACAACTAGAATGGAATCACGATTACAGGTTATTTTAGACAATCCTAAGACAAAGTCCATACACTAAGGTCTCTCCATGGTGTGTGTGGAACTGGTAATGGTGTGTACAACCCCGTGTTTTGTTTCCTAGCCTTTACTAACTGACAAGTGCGATATTGTGACACTATCTTAATAATGTCATGCCTCAAAGTGGGCCAATAAAACCTATCCTCAACAAATGCAAATGTCTTATCCCTACTAAAGTAGCCTGCCAAATCTCCCGCCTGTAATTCCCAAATCAAGAAATCCCTAAGTGAAGTACGAGGAATATATAAGCGCAACCCTCTAAACAATAACCATCTCTAAGGAGGAAGTCAATGTACTCATGACGGTTACCAGACTGAACCTCCTGAAAAATGATACCAAAGTTAGGACAAGAGGCATACTCATCTCTAATCCTGTCAAAGCCAATCACATGGACACTCATAGTCTGTAAAACAATAACTACACGGCTAATAAGAGCATCCGCAAGCTTGTTTTCAATACCCGCTCGGTGGTGAAGAACAAAAGTATACTCCTGAAGGAACTCAACCCACCTACCGTGCTTAACACTCAATTTTCTCTGGGAATGAAGATATTTTAATGCCTAATGATCAGAATATAACAGAAACTCATATGACAATAGATAATACCTCCAATGGCGAAGAACTTGTACCACAGCGTAGAACTCTGTCATATATAGAATATCATTGTTTAGTTTCATTGAGTTTTTCGCTGAAGTAAGCAATAGAATGACCCTTTTGACTCAAAACTCCACCTATCCCTACACCAGATGCATCACAGGCAACCTCAAACACCTTAGAAAAATCTAGGTGTCGAAGAACAGGTGCCTCTGTCATCCTGTGCTTAATTTCTTGAAAGGCTCTAGTTGCAACAAGTCCATTGAACTCCCCTTTTTCATGCACTCTATGATGGGAGTCATAATGGAACTAAACCCTTTAATAAATCGTCTATAGAAGGTGGCCAAACCATAAAAATTTCGAACCTCAGAAATTGTTCTTGGCACTGGCCAATCCCTAATAGTACGAATTTTCTCTGGGTCAGCTGCAATATCATACGCAGAAATAACAAAAAGCACTTGAGTTTGCATAAAAGAGCACTTCTTAAGGTTCGCATAGAATTTTTTCACACGTAATGTCTGCAAAATCTGTCGAAGATGATCCAAATACTCTTCTTTAGACTTACTATAGATCAAGATGTCATCAAAGTAAACAACCACAAATTTTTCTAGGAAATGACGCAGTATCTGAGTCATAACCCTCATAAATGTGCTAGGTGCATTAGACAATCCAAAAGACATGACCAACCACTCATAAAATCCATCCTGGGTTTTAAATGCGATTTTTCATTCATCTCCTGATCTAATTCAGATTTGATGATAACCACTGCGCAAATCAATTTTGGAGAACCAAAGTGCACCGGCCAAAAGGTCAAGCATATCTTCAAGTCTCGGTATAGGAAATCGATACTTGACTGTAATTTTGTTAATGGCACAGTTATCAACACACATTCTCCAAGAGCCATCTTTCTTAGGGGTCAACAAAGCGGGGACAGCACATAGACTAAGACTATGACGAACAGACCTTTTTTCCAACAGTCCATCTACTTGCCTTTGGAGTTCAGCACGCTCAGTGGGATTCATACGATAATAGGGAAGATTAGGCAACTGAAATCCTGGAACTAAGTCAATAACATGCTGAACGTCTCTTATTGATGACAACTCATCGGGTAGTTCCTCAGGAATCACATCATAGAACTTTCTCAATAAACTATCAACCTCAGGCAAAAGATCGTCTTTAGATTCCAGAGGACTTTGAACAACTTCTTTGACAACTAGAGCTACCATTGTACCAGACTCTTTTCTCTCTTTTTCAAATTCTCTATGGGTTAAGATGTGAAGGTCTTTCTTGTAAATTATTGGAGAAGATGACCTATGCTTTGAAGTATTACTTTCTGAGGGTTTCGCAGGTTTTAACTTAATGGTTTTCCCCTTATGCTTAAAAACATAGGTATTTTTCCTCCCATAGTTTGTCACATCTAGATCAGAAAGCCACAGGCGACCCAACAAGACATGAGCAACATCCATAGGTAAGACATCACACCATATATGATCTGAATAGTCACCCATCTGAATAGGAACCAAACATCTATGTGAGACTGGTAAGGAGGTCTTAGTAACCCATGCGACTTTGTAAAGTTGTGGGTGTGTCTCTGACTTAAGCTGCAACTGAGCTACAGTTGATTTAGAGATGACATTCAATGAACTTCTCTTATCAATGACGACCTCGCAAACTTGACCCCCACATCGGACTAAAGTATGAAAAATACTGGTGCGTTTCTATACTTCTGTGTTTGAAGGGGTGGATAAGATGCATCGCATTACACTGACACGGGTGTCATCGGTTTGCCACTCTTTCTCACCCTCATCTAGTAACTCTAAGGATTCCTCATCCAAAGGATCAACTTCTTGGTCAACATCCTCTCTGTCAAGTGAATTCTCTAATCTCTGGTCAATGGTCAAGGTACGCTGAGAGCACTGTGAAGCAATATGACCCTTGCCATGACAACGGTGACACTCTATGGAAGAACTATCCTAACGAGAACCTATGAGTGTAGAATCACGACCCCTAGTGATATTACCTCTTAAGTTAGGGAAATTGTTACACCTGGATGTGACAAGGCATGCCTAGGTGATGCCTCGAGACCGATCAAATGGAACTAACCTTGATGGTTGAGATTCTCCGGTTTGAGAAGGCATTCAACGTTGAAAAGGTGGCCTAAGTTATTGTTCAATCTCTAAGGCTTTATAATATGCTTCCTCAACCGTTTCAGGAGAGTGTAAGTTAAGCTCTCTTAATCTCAGGTCGTAAGCCATTAATGAATTTTGTAACTGTTACCCAAAGCTTTTCCTTTATGTCACATCTCAGAAAGAGCTCTTCAAATCGAGCTAGGTAATCAATCACACTCAAGGTCAATTGACGCAAGTTCATCCACTTGTCCAAGAGTTGGCACTTATAGTAATTAGGGAGAAATTTATCTCGCAATCTTTGTTTCATCTCAGCCCATAAAGTAATAGGTTGTCCCTCTAGGCGCTCTTGGTCTCGTTGGACTCCCTGCCAATATCTCTTAGTCGAACCAACGAGTTTTATTTTGGCAAAACGAACCCGATGGTTGTCGGACAATCATACCAATCAAAATAGTCATCCATGTCATCCAACCAATCTAAGAAAACAACAGGATCTAACCTACCATCAAAGCTAGGAACGTCCAATTTGACTCTTTGTGTGATATCCCTAGATTCTTCGTGGATATGCCTATGTTGAGGATTATGGTAACGCGGAGGGGGAGACCTATGGTATCTGGCACGTGGGCAGAAGGGCTCACGATAACCATCCATATCACTCTCTGCTGAATAGTCAGACATGACTACCTCAGCGGGATCCTCCTGAACATTCCTACGACCTACGTTTCGTCCAAAAGCGGTATTAGGAGGTGTCTTCCTATCTGGACACTGTATTCGGCTCCCCTGAGCTACTTGCGGAGTGGGTAGGACACCTTGACATGAGTCAGTAGGATCTATTGGGAGAGGCAGGTGCCGAACATTGGGTACTTGGTTAGACTTAGCTGAAACTTGTGACTCACTCTGGTCATAGTCTATTGGTCGTTTTTCGATAAACTTAGTCAATTGGGCAAGTTGAGTAGTAACTTGAGAAAGTTGTTGTCCCATTCCTTTAACTTCCTCACATAACAAGTCGACTGATTGTTTAGTATCAGTCATATCAATGGTGAGGGTCTCAAATTTTTGTTCTAATGCAGTATGGGATTCTAAAAGCTCACGAAGGGTCATAGTGAATGTAATGTAAAATTTGGGCTAATATAAATGGCCGACTAGACTAAAAATTAAACCAAGTAATAAAAATTATAAATTAATGCGCATGGTCACACATAGGAACAAGCTTATTGTAAAGAGGCTCAAATAAACGTGAGACAAGCAACAACGAATTTAACAAGAAATTGGGTAAGCTAAGTTATGAAGGTGGTGTGTGAGAACAACAAACAAAGAAGGTTATGAAGGTGATATGCGGGAACAACAAATAAAGAAAGTTTAGGTTTTTTGTTTGACTTACCAACAAATATAAATACTAGTCACCAATTCTCAACGAAAAGAACTCGTACCTGGTGTTAGATGCAACTCCAAGAGGATGCTTGACAAGTTAGGGGATTATCATATAAAGTGTAGAACTTTTTGGGGTGTTTTTGCAATTTCTAGAACTTCTGGGGTGATGTTTCTGTAATTTTTTGAACCTGTTGGGACGTTTTTGCAATACTGAAATTTCTGGATGATGCTTCTGCAATTTACTAGAATTTCTGGGGTGATTCTGTAACTTTCGAGAACTTCTGGGGAGGTTCCTGTAATTCTGGAGCTTTATGGGGGTGAAAGGGTTAAAACCAATGTCTTCTTCCTTAACACGATGGAACGAGGAAGAAAATGGGCAGCGATGAAGTCGAAGCAGCACAGGTCAACGACGAAAACAGGCACAATGAACAGTAACAACATTGAACAGTGCGCAAATTTTATTTTTTTTTCTAGAACAGGAACGATGAACAGTAAGAATTTGCCAAAATTTTTTTTTTTTTTTTTTCGATGAACGGTGTTGTTGAGATTTTTGTGATTTGTACGAATCAAAGTTAAGCTCTGATACCAAATTGATGTAGATCGTATTAGAAAAGAATTAGGGATGACAAGGGAAGAAGAAAGGGATAAGAAAAAAAGGAGATGAGAATAGAGAGAATTTTAGAAAAAAAATTCAATATCAATAATCAATAATCAAAGTCTCCCAAAACAAATAACATATCTCCTATATATATAGGGAGACCACAAATCTTAAAAGAACTCTAAAAAAAAATAAACTCATAATGACAACTAAACCCCTGAAAAGCATAATAACAAATAATTCATAATCCTTACGTCTACGCCTACTATAACGAAATATAATCCGATTCCTATCAGAAGGTATGTGGGTGGGTGTGTGGGTGGGTATGTGTGCGTGTGTGTGTGTGAGAGAGAGAGAGAGACTATCAATTCACTAAAGGGGGTTTGATTGAACTAGCTTAAACTGAGTAAAGCTAAACTGTTCGACATGTATAATCAGGCAAAACCCAAGACAACTTCGAAAAAGCACATTATAATTCACATTGTTCACTTGTTTAGTCTAGTATGAGTAAACGGAGTCAATCTTGACTCTTTACTTTTTTCCACCCATTTAAAGAATATTTAGCGGTGTCAAGTATAATAAAGTCGGTGCTTACATATTAATTCCCATACAATCCACAATCTGGCATGAAACAAAAACAGAGTCAAAGAGAAAAGTATCTGAAAAACATAGAACCGTACAAGATCAGAAATACCTATAAGTCTTGAAACTGGATAATGGTCTGGGAACTTGAGATTGATAATTCCATTTAATGCATATATTTCCCGGTAAAAATCCTCCATAGCTTTAATGGTAGCATCATCTGGAACCTTACCAGCAGCATGAATCCAGAGTCGTCCTTCAAAGACAAGGGTTTGCAAACTTAAAGCAACTTAAAGAAGGTTAAAAGACAACAACACTTTGTAGTTGCACATTAAGACAACATCTATCACTAAACTAAATGACAATGTTACTTGTTTCTCACACAGGACTACCTACTAGTGACATGCCGGACTGATTCCATGAGAGATGTTTGTCAGACGAAAATGTTGCTGGAATAACCATGGTAAATTAACTGTTATAAAGGATATACTCAAGTTACTATTGTGTTTTTGTTACAATCAGCTTTCTAGAAATAGATTTCGAACCAAGTGATTTCCTGTAAATAATATACTCCACACACACACAAAAAGACCTCTTATACATAAAGAATGAAACCTTCTTATTAATTTGCATTCTACAAATCATCGACATCCTGAACCTTGTATTTGAACAGATTTATGTACAACATCATTCTAAACAAAACAAAAACTTCTTATCTATTTTCATTCCACTTATTAGCCCATTCTTATACCTCATTGTGGAACATATACACATAAAACCAGGGAAAAAAGAAAGGAAAATAGTTTAAAGTTGCATTCTCTTGACCAATCAAAGTGCAAAACCAGGTTGAAATCCATACATATAAAACACATTTAAAAATAAGAAGATACATTTCACACATTTTTCATTCCACATATTAGCCAAAATGTGAAATCCCATTTCAAAATATAAACACACATACAAAGAAAGAGAAAAAAAATGCACGCATATATATTGCAGCAAAATGATTAGTCATCTAGGATATGAGTGGCTCGGTCAAATGGGTTCAAATGTTTCCCCTCCCTGATACTTTCATTCCAAAATGAATTCACTACATAGCAAAACCATGAACCTTTATACCCGTTTATCATATTATGTAGCAAAAATCATAACCTTCATTTACATTTTTTCAATGTAAATTTTCATTTTCTGTATCTTCAAATATATTCCACAAACATTATGTTGTAAGTAATGAAAGCACACCTCCAATCACAAGATGATTGTATAGGCGTTTGTTGCTCAAACAGGCAGCACAAAAAAGGTAGCAATATATCTAAGTACATGTAGTTTATACGTTTTTCAGCTTCATTACAAGTTATTAGACCCATATACTGTGTAATAATAATTAATATCCTTCACCAAATCTGGAAAAATGGGGGAAACTATGGAATCTAGCCAAACTGTATACTATGCAAGTATAGTTGTGACAGGTGAAACAACTGTAGATTATGTAAGTGAAGCTGAATCACGTCAATGAAAATACCTGAATGGATTTAATTCAGAATAATATGATTAAGTCACCTTTTCGAATGGGGCCATGGAGTCTAATATAGATTCGCGGCAGGGATTTGATTGTAAAGCTGATTCTTTTTTCTCAACTTCTTGGGTATATTGAAAAAAATTGAAAATTGGGCCTACAATGAAACTTTAAGATCCAATTGAACAATTTGAATCCTAAGACAGACACAAATTGAGAAATTTGGCACAATTGATTCACCAATTCAAAACCATGCAGCTTAGATGAAGCTTCAGTTTCCTCGGTTGTTGGTGTATCAGTTAACCATAACCACAAAAAACAAACACTCCTACCCATCCAGATTCCAACTTTGTTCTCTTCCCGTACAATTTTTTTGTTACCCGAAATCGTTCCAATAGCGTGCCTTTTAGCCCAAAGTTGCAATACAAAATTTTAATGTACGCAATTATATGCTAAACGCCACTACCGGTTTAACCCAATTTAGTAAGTCAAGTGGAAACCAAACTCGCGATGCGCGGGTTTATATCTTACCTTCTGTCCAACCAATCTGCCCACCGCCCACATGGTTTCTTTCCTGAGTTTTCTTGACAACTATATTAATCAAAACATAGAACTTCACAAGTACAATTCGAAAGAGAAACAGTATACACTTATCTGGGTCTATGCTTATACTAGAAACATGATAGAAAATACAAAGTGGGTATGGGGGTTTCAGGGTTTAGAGTTTATTTGATTCATTACCTCTGATAGGAGCAGCCCAAGACCTGCCTTCAATACGCTTGATGCCTTGAACAAGTAGAGAAGCCCATGGTTGGTGCATCGTCAGACAAGGGTTCCTCACATACTTCCCATTGTTTCTGCCTCCCATCATCGCTCTGTTATTTTTTTGTTTGTTTGTGTTTGTGTGTGTGTGTGTGTGTTGGTTGTTATTCTTGTTCTATATAGAGAAGAAGACCAAGGAGAAAAGAAGAGTGATTGTCATAGGTAAAACATAGAAATTGACATCTTCACGGAAAAGGAAAGCAGGTTTGCAGCATCTGAATGTCAAAAATTACAATGAAGCCCTCTGATATTTAGATTTATTCTCTAAACACCTCATAATATTTCATTAACAACACAAAAATCTTCGAAAATTACAACGAAGCACTCTGATATTTAGATTTATTGTCTAACCACCTCCTAATATTTCATTAACAGCACAAAAATCTCCCAATACTTTAAATTATAATAGTAAGGGTTATCCGATCAGACAACAGAAAAGTTGACTTTCACAAGAATAATAATAACGTTGCCACCATAATCTTCGGCAAAAAACATTAGGATAAATTGTACCAATGTTCCCTAAAGTTTATCACTTAATGCACTTTCATCCTTAAAGTTTTAATTGTGTCAGTTTTATCCTTCATGTTAACACATTGACTCACTTTAATCCTTTTCCCTAAATGTTGTCCAAATAATAGGCGAAAAATGTCACATGTTTGGCACTTGAGGATATTAAGGGGGCATTTTTGTCATTATGCTTCCAAAGGCAAGGGCACGAATGGAAAAATAACTCTTCAAACAAAAACCAAGAATTAAACCAACAACCCCTCTCCCTTCCCTTACCCCTACCCCTAAACCCTTGGTTGTAGTTTGTTGGTACTCGCAACCAATAATTATAACTCCGGTAGGACTCAAAGTCTATCCCCCCCAATCAATGTTATTAAAATCAAACCAGACCAGACGGTTCGAACAGTTGAACAATGAACCGGGACTTAAAACGGTCTAGTTCTATAGTTAGACCGCACAAGGAAGTAAACAGCCGGGAAACTGTTAAACCAACCAGTTTTGGACCAAACCAGTGAACCAGGCGATTTTGGTCAAACTGGACAGTTTGAATTCATGGACTCCATTTAAAAAAAAAAAAACTTTTTTTTGGGGTATTTGCCCTAAATCGCCTTCACAGCTCAGGCGACTACCCAGTGTACCCACCACCCATCCACCCACCATTTTTTTTGCTTGTGGCTTGTGGTTTCGAAGAGAAGGCGGCGAGAGAGGTGAGTCTCTAAGACTCAAAGAGGAGGAGGCACTAAGGATCAATTGACCAAGAAGAAGAAGAAAGAGGCGAGAGTCTGTGAGACTCGAAGAGGAGGAGGTGTTAGGTATCAATCGACTGAAAAGAAAAAAGAGGGGAGAGTCTTTGTTAGAGGAGGAGGAGGAGTCTGATACTTGAAAATGTAATTTTTCCAAAGAAGGTAGTATTCTTTGATACTTTTTTTTTGTATTGGGATTTCATAATGTATTTGTTTGATTTGGTTTTTGGGTTTTGGGGATGAAGATGAGGAAGAGTAAAGAGCAAGATAAATGGGTCTTGATATTGACGATTTTTGGGTGTAGACATACGCGTCTGTAACTGGGTATGCTCATGCCATTAAAATGATGAGCAAGTCACAATATGGCATTGAAGGCAATAGAAAAAGGATGATTTTTCATTTTTGGGATTTGATACTTGAAAATACTTTGTTTTGTCTCATTTTTATTTTGCTTAATATTTAATTTCATTAATTGTATGGATAAATTATATAAATTTTGAATATATTTTATATTTTTTTTGCTAAATTATTATATTTTTTAATTTTTTATTATATAACCGGTCCAACCAGTTGACCCGACGGTTGAACCATTGACCTGATCCCCTTATCGGTTCGATGGCTAGTCCGGTTCTGATAACATTGCCCCAATTGAAATACACCCCACCCCCTCTCTCTGTCTTTCTCTCTCTTACACATCCACACACTCATGTAGACGCATAGATTCTGACCTTTCTCTCTCTCTTAACACATACACTCACACAGATGGATAAAGAACTGTTTGAATTACAGAGGCAATTCGAGTTCACTCAACAAGCCAAATCGAGCATCCGCTTATCTGAACGGAATGTTGTTGAATTGGTTCAAAAACTCCAACAACTCCAAATTATCGATTTCGATCTTCTCCACACCTTCTTTGGAAAATAATACATCACTTTGGCACAACTCTCTCTCTCTCTCACACACACACAGAACTCAAAAGCATTAGCCATTGCAAGTTCTGAATCCATGTGGGGTGTATATGATTGTGGATTTTTGTTAAGGTAATGTATTTTGTGGTTTTGTGTTGTATTTGTTAGGGATTAGATGTGTTGGGTTTGGGAGGTGGAGACGTAGTAACGAGAGAGAGAGTGTGATGTCTGTGTGACTATGTGTATAAGGGAGAGAAAATGATGTCTGTGAGGGAGAGAGAAGAGAAAAACAAAGGAAGAAGAAAGTAGGTGTTTGGATTTATGTTTAATGTATACATATAAAGGATTATTGTGTTTGGATGCATAAATAGTTGTAAAATATCAAAGATGCCCCTTAATACCGTTATGTGCCAAGCACATGACATTTTTCATCTATTATTTTGACGACAGTTAAAGGTATGGAGGGTGAAATTGCTGAAATTTAAATTTTAGAAATAAAAGTGTAATAATTGGCAAACTTTAGGGACCATTGGTATAATTGATCCAAAACTTTACTTACGAAGGATTAGTAAGTTACTTTCAATTTAAAAAGTTATCGCTGAATAAAATTCTTTGAATACAGTTTTATTGTCTTTCATATTATATCAAGAGACTAACAATAAATCCGTGTATTAAGACACTCAATAATATAAAAAATTGTGCATTTATCATGAAACATTTATATATTAAATAATAATCTTTTTAAACAAGTAATTTAAAATTAAAGTGAATAGTGATAAAATAAGAAAGAGGTAGAGATAAAGGGAGAGGGAGAAAAAAGAGAGGTATGTGTGAATCAATGACGTTTGGCAATGGAAAATCTGTTGGTTGAGATGCTTAACTTGGGCGGTGTGCAAAGAAGATGATATTTTTGAGTGAACAAAAATTTTGGAATGAATTTTATATCATTGGATGACAATAGATAAAAAATAAATTAATCTTGACCGTTGTTGTACTTTCATAAGTTAAAATTTTAACTTGTTAGTTGTAATATTATATAAATATTTGCAGAATATTTATATTCTCTGAATATTTTTAGTTAATTGTATTTTGTGTTCTACAGTTAATTGTATTTTTGTATTCTTCCAACTATTTATGATTATATTGATTATTATTTTAATTGTATCAGAGCCATTTGACGGTTATTGCTAAGTTTTCTGCTGAGTCAAAATTTTCTAATCTCACTCTTTGATAAATCTTTTGCAATTCATCTAGTCAATTTCTTATAAGTTTTAATTTCCTTTGGCACCTAACCATACTTTGATGCCCAAACTTAGGCTCTTGAGTCATAGCATAAGTCCTAGAGGGAGGCAGAAGATAGGAAAAGAAACTACGGAGGGGTATGTGTATGGAAGGGTATGTTCACTTGTGAAAAGAAAAGCCTTATAAGTAAATTGTTGGTTGAATTAATTTAAATTTAAAAAATGAGTAGGTTAGTCAGATCTAATTCATGAGTTAACTCTAGAACTTCAATTCCTTCTTTACTATCAGTGGTAAATGAAGAGGAACATGAATTTCACGAGTTAAAATTAGATTGGAGTAACTGGAATATACCCAAAATACCAGTAAAAGAGATCTACAAAAACAAGTTGGCTACCAACAACCATCAAGACAGAAACTTTAAGTAAAAACAATTGAACAAGTTTATGCCTTCCCCAAAGAGCATGAAACTTATCAACTTCATAGTAAAGAATCAGTTAAAAAACACAACTCAAAAGGATATAACTTTATTCATATTGGATTAATTCAAGTTGCAGTTAAACCATTAACCACTCGAGAAATTAATTCTTCAATTCTATTATGTCTAAGAGATGTCAGGTTTAAAAAGTATAACGCAAGTATCTTAGGTATAATAGAATCAAGCCTTCATAATGGGCCAATACATTTTAATTGTTTCCCAGTCTTTACTCTAAGTCATAGTGACATTAATTTGTTAAAAGCTTTAACCATAAATATAAAAACTTCGGGTGAGTACACAAACATGGAAGAAGGAAGTCAATCCATAGTTCTAATTTATAGAATTTATTATAAATGCAATGTTCATGCATTAAGTAAAAGCCCAAAAGACAAAACTTTACTAATCCAAAGTAGTACTAGTCAAGCTAATATCCAAGTTCCAAGACAACTCTACTGGAAAGATATTAATCTTCTAATCAGTTGGGTTCTTGAGAGTGAAAGTTATCATCAAAATCTCCAAAACACTATAGTTAACATAGATTATATCCACCAATATCTTGGTGGATCAATAAGAATCAATTTTAATGATAGACACAAGTAAACCACTTCAAATTAATGAAGGAAGAAATTTTGCATCCTCTAGTATATCTCGAAGGGATCAAGACTTAGCAAAAGAAATTGACAATAGATTAAAATTGAAAGGTATAGATACAATATCACAAATTAGTAAACCATGTTACACCACTCAGTCAAAGTTTCTAGAAGAATCTGAAGATGAAACTCTTCAATCTGTCCTTCAATGATTGATATGGAAGGTAATGTAGTAAACAAACAATTAGTAACCATTTTACTAGATATTGATAAGTTGCACACAGAATTCAAGTCAAAAGAAAATAAGATCAATAGATGAGAATTCCGAAGTAAATATAGTGAACATAAGCAAGATAAAATAATTTCTAAATGGACAAAGTTCATAAAATAATAGGACATGAAATCTATTTCTTTGATTATTTAGAAAATTATTACAATAATGTAATAACAAAACATAAATGGAAGAAAAAAGATGCTACCACATTATCTTTTAGCGATCCTCCAATAGAAACCATATTAATTAACCATATGGGTTTTGAAGTCATAGCCTTACCATTCAAGTTACTTTCAGGCACTGAATGACT